GTTAATGTTTGGATTAATTCAATCAAACTTCTGTAAAAATAAGTTGATCTCGAGATGACAATCTGTTTACATTGTTGCAGTACACGTGTTCAATACCAAAAGAAGACATGATTGCTGAAAGATATAAATTTATTTAAAATATGTCCAGCTTTCTTCAGTGATCACTGTACTCAGAAATCATTATTGAATTAAGAGGTCGATGAACCAATTAATTGTAAAGAACAAGAACACAGAGTGGCTCAAAAGACAGAGGCACAAACCTGCAGAGTTCCTCTCATTACAAGTAATTCCTTGTTTCATTAAAAGTACATCAGCATGGGTGTTCTGGGAAGGAGGTGACTGATGAAACAAGTTAAACAGACAAACCAAGCGTATAGATGCAGATTAGGCTTCAGAAGATGAGGGCGTAAAAGGGATTTAATGGTAGGATGGATTATAGAAATCCTTGTAACAATGTTAAATAATTATAGTTCCAGCAGAGATCAAAGCAACATTGATTGAACCCCCCGAGCCTATAACATACAGTTTCTTGGAAACCAAAGATTGGTCAACTTGTACTGAATCCTCCCTAATTATATGCATTAAATAGGATTGGAAATTTTAGTTCTGCGATGTGATATTCCACAAATCTAAGTTTCATGCATTTTGTTCCTTGAAAAATAACTCATTCCATCCCAGTCTCTGGATTTTTTTGTTTTTTGTTATAGCTGCTGTTTTTTCTCAAGCACTTTCAGTTCAAGGTCACTCTCAATAGCTTGAATATCTTAAGCAACAGAACAAGATTTTTCCAAACTCCCTCATAACTCAATTGCTTTTTTGATAATAGTTTAGGCATTTGTGCTAAAAAAAATCACAGTGAAACTGTGGCAAAATCTTTTCTCTTTAGTTGTAATTTTTTGGGATTATCCACATTTCAAAGGGCTGAATTCCAAGCTTAAGCATAGGGGAAAAAAACACATGCGCTTTTATGATTCTGTGAGTTTGTCTTATTCAATTATGCAATTTTCATTGGCATATTAATCATCTTTTCAACAAACAAGCAGGCTTTAATTAACCAAACCTTGGATAAAGACATGTTGCTGGATCATCATTTGGTTTATCACAAGGCGCAGCCAGTCGTTAAGTAAATTCTGGATTGTGAGATGAATTTAAATGTTTTCTTCCTTTTTTGTTACGGTTTGAATAAAACTCATCTTAAACTCCCAGATTCCAAATGGAGGGATGAATTCATTTATAATTTGATGGCTGGCACTGCTTCATTCCTATTGATGGGATTGGGCTATCATGCAGCAAACCATTCTATTCTATTTTATTCTTGCAGAGGTTATGCTCAAGATCCAGTTTGGGTTAAGACACAAACGTTTAACTCGTTAAGTTTGAAATTAATTAAAGTTTTAATGTTGAGTTGGACAGTGGGAAAGAATTTATGATTCATAATACCAAAGAAAAAATTTCAACAGTTTAAAGTTTTGTGAAGCAAACCATGAATCATGATTGTGAATCTAAGTGAATGGTTGGATAGAAACAAATTATGTTGGGTTGTTTTACTTTCTTCCATATCTAGTTATGCCTAGTTCAACAAAATAAAAGTCTTTTCCAATCACACCTCTTGCCTAATTTTAATATTTAAATGAAACTAATTCAAAAAATAATATAAATGTTTGTTTTACTATTCAGCAGTTTTGATGACTATTTCTCTTAATTCACTTATATTTTTCATCTGTTTTTGAATAACTTGAATGAAATTGAAATGCAGGAGCAAGTAACTCTAGTTGTGACAGAAGTAACTGAGATTCTATAACTGTATTCTTATTTCAGTTTTCCTGATAGAGATCAGTGCTACCTGGTGAAAACACAACAAACAGCTGCAATTGCATGACAGTAGAACTTTGAAGTAGACTGACATAAAAAATGCAATTTAGATATTTTAAAAAAACTATATGTATAATACATGTATAATTAAAGAGCACAATTAAATAAATATTAGCCACCAAGTAATGTGAGCTGCAGAACCATGATTGAGCCGATGAAACACGAGCTACTATACTAAAAAATCCAGAAAGTTGGAAGGTTTATAAAAATTTTAATCTAATATTAAAATTAAGCATAGCAAACAAGATGCATGATTTCATTTTGCAAAAAAATTTTTAAGCCAACTTGTTTCTTCTGAAAATAAATTACTTAACATGAACACAATCCATCATTTTATTCCTGTCTGTTTCTGAGTTGCACCCATTGTATAACTATCTTCTGTATGTATACTGAAAAATGTAGAGGTTTCAGAGAATCAATAAACAGAATTGAATTCTTTTGTGCAGAAGAAAAATGTGCTTTTATTAGCTAGCAGATGGTAAAGACGACCTAACAGTTTAATACTGTTTGAATGCTGTCAGTACCAACATTTTGCAAACGTGGCTTTTACTTTAGTAATAGAAGTGAAGGTAAATCGCAGGCACAGACTGCATTGAGAGAGCAGAGCTGGCCGCCTCCGCAGCCAAAGACCAGATGCACCTCCATATCCTAATCTGTAAACGACTTAGAGGACTGTTATCTCAGGGCTCTTCTGCTTCATTTCATGCTTGATTTGCTTTAATTTGTCTGATAGGGCACAAGGATTTTGAAATGGCCCATCTTTCTGCAGAAAATGTTCTGATCTTTCTTCGTTACTGTTATTTGCAGGTTTTGACTTTCTTTATGTAGGGGAAAAATCTTGCTCCAGTGTAATAGTTTGTTTGTGTAAGTTTGACATCTAAAGTATGTTCTGATAGTGAAGTCATTTTAAATACTGCTGACTACCGTCAATAAGTTACCCCATTTTTTTGTTAAAATAAATGTCCACTTATTAACTTTATTCATATGTCTGCCAAAGATACTGTTTGGATATTAGTGACCACTCCAAACTGATTATTCCTGTTATGTCCAGTACTATTCAGAATAATTGATAGGTAAGAGGGAGCTACAAAGTAATAACATAGTCAATGAGATTGGACATCATAAACCATGAGAGAACATCTTGAGCAGCTTACTCACAAAATCTAAAACCTAAAACCTGAAATGTGTTCTCTTAACTTTTCCCAAAAATATAAGTTCACTGATTTTGAAATGTATTCTGTCACAGCTCTTTTTATTCTCCCTCTGTGCCACCATGCCCTCAGTCAAGGGGAAGACAGGCAATTTTTGCAAAGGCAACTTGAGTTAGCTGCTGTTTAGAGCTTGTCCCTCGGAAATCATGCTCACTTTGAGCAAGCAGCCACACTGATGGCACAAGTGAAATCATTTTGGATACAATCCTAATGTCAATTTGACTGAGAAGTAGCGTGTTAACATGCCAGATTGTATACCTCAGCACATCACCCTTACTTTAATCTAGGTAATTTATATATTTCGTTGATATCTTAATATCTTAGTAACTTATCAGTATGACCAATAGTTGCTTGATGTAATGTTGAGAACAATACCATAAATAGAAAATAAGAAAATGAAAGCATAATAACATTGTGTAACTGACACATAAAAATTAGGATTAGATTTAGCAGTGATATATTGTGATCTTCACTGTCGTTATGTTCCAAGACAATAATACGTTTCCTATTACAGAGATTAAAAAACTTTAGCAGTAAAATTGAATTTGTTTATTTACTTGAACATGGTCCAAAAAAGATAATTGATAATTTGTTCAGGAGTGAAATTTCAAGGGAAAAAGAGGAAATTGTGATGAAACTCATTACATATGGTAGTTCCAGAATGTCTAAGCAACTTATGATGTTGAAACACTGTGATTTAGACAATTTGATATTTTCTATTTTTCAGTAATACTCTGTTCCAGTACAAAGCCTCAACCAACAGGAGTGTAGATTAGAGAATCGGGTACTGTGGAGGTCAGCCTGGCCAGTTTGTGGTGTTCTTAATTTTCCAGTGATTAATTTTAATGAACTCATTAATTATTTACTGATTAATTATAATAATCAGAAAACCATCGGTGTTAAAATTGTCTGAACTCAATGCTCCTGCTGACTGAGACTTCACATTGGGCACAAAGCTTATCAAAGTTAAGAGCTGCCCGAGTGAGCTTGACCTAAGGTATTAGGTAAGGTCCATGTTTCAGAAGGAATAAAGAATAGTGGCCCTGATAAAAAATTTAATTAGGCTACAATTTGGAGTAACATAGCAGGTTTTAGGATCAAGATTAGAGAGGAGGAACAGCTCTTCATTTTCCACTTGGGAACTGTACAACCTTCTGGATTCAATATCGACTTCAACAGTTTTAGGGTTTGAGGTATCTTCCCCCACGTCCTTACCTCAACACCAACACACCAGGCCTTGTTATCAAATGGTCTGCTATTATACACAACCCATTATTTGCCACTAATAGTTCACATTAGTAGCTATTAATTCTCCTAGGTTGATCGTTATCTACTCCTTTGTCTGTCTAATATCTCCCTTTTGGGCTCTATCTCCACTCATCATTTACTCCCAACTCCCTTCCCCTCACCCTCACCCTACCTTCTACTTAAAAAAAAATTTCCTTGCTGCCATCAATTCTGAGGAAGGGTCACTGGATCTGAAATGTTAAGTCTTATTTGTCTCCACAAGTGCTGCTAGACCTGATGAGCTTTTCCAGCAATTTCTGTTTTTGTTCAAGATTAGAATATTTGGATGTATTCAGTTACAAAGAAGAACCATATTGGACTTGAAACATTTACTGTATTTCTTCTTTTATAGGTAACGCTACGTGGCTGATGAGTTTTTTCCAGCAGTTCCACTTTTAATTTGAGGAAAATGTCATTGTACATGTATAGAAAAATGCTAATAGAATTTAAATAATTATATCACAAGATCATGAATATATTGTACATTTTGATACAGCAATAATTTGTATATTTTATTTCTGTGAAATATTTTAATAAAATAATAATTTTTCTGCGATGAAATATTTTCATAGAACAATAATGTTTCTGTATCTATAATATTCAGAACCTTGGTGTAAAATTTCCTTATAGACTCGTACAAATTTACAGCACTGAAGGAGCCCATTTGGTCCATCATGTCTACACTGGTTAACAATAGTCTGACAACACCAATCCTATTTTCCACCTCTTGTCCTATAGCCCTGGAGTCTATAGCAAAGCAGGTATGTAATTACTGTTTAAATTTTATGAGAGTTTCTAACTCAACCACTCTTTCAGGCAGTGGGTTCCATACTCCCAACACCTGGGTGAAAAAGATTGTGCTTAACTCACAGCTTAGCCTTCTACCTCTTAAGTCTATGCCCCACTGTTTATTGATCCCTCTACTAATGCAAAAGCTGCCATTCTGTTTAACAAGGGCTACAGGGATAATCCAGGAAATTACAGGTCAGTGGGCTTTATGCCAGTGGTAGAGGAATTGATGGAGAAAAATTCTTTGGGATGGTATTTACTCACACTTGGAAAAGTATAGATTCATTAGTGATAGGAAGCATGGTTTTGTGCAGAGAAGGTCATGTCTCACAAACTTGATTGAGATTTTTAAGGAAGTTACAAAGATGATTGACCGAGGACAGGGCCATAGAAGTTGTCTATATGGACATCAGCAAGGCCTTTGATAAGGCTCCTCATGGCAGGCTGATACAAAAGGTAAGTCATGTGGAATCTGTGGTGAACTGTTAAGATGGATACTGAACTGGCTTAGTCATTGATGACAGAGAGTAGTGGTGGAAAGGTATTTTTCTATTGGAGACCTGTGACCAGAAGTGTTCTGCAGAGATGAGTTTTGGGACCCCTTTTGTTTGAAATATATTTAAATGATTTGGGGGAGCATGTAGGTGGCCTGATTAGTAAGTTTGTGTATGACACAGAGATTGAGGAACTGTGCATAGTGAGAAGGATTCCCAGAGGATGCAGCAGAATGTAGCTAGGCTTGAGCCAAGGGCAGAGAAATGGCAAATGGAGATTAATTTGGACAAATACGATGTATTTTGGAAAATCTAATGCAGGAGGAAAATGTACAATAAATGGCAGAACCTCTATTAGCATCGACATATGGAAGGATCTAGGTGTACAGGTCCACAGTTCCCTGAAATGGCAACCCAAGTGGATAAGGTGGTCAAGAAGACATATACATGTTTACCTTAATTGGTTGGGGCATAAAATATAGTCGATGATAAGACAGATACTATAAACGTTGACAAGTCATGTTGCAGCTTTAATTAGGCCACATGTGGAGTATTGTATAAAGTTCTAGTCATCACACTACAAGAAGGATATGGATGCTTTGGAGAGGATGCAGAAACAGTTTACCAGGATGTTACAAAGACAGAAATTGCAGGAAAAACTAAGCAGGTCTGGCAGCACCTAGAAAGCAGAGTTAAAGTTTTGGGTCCAGTGACTCTTCTTCAGAACATGTGTGAAGAAGGGGGAGGGGAGTTGCATTACTGATCAAGGACAATGTTACAGCTGCACTCAGAAAGGACGTCTTGGAGACCTTATTCAGTGAGGCCATATGGGAGTAAGGAAGGTGTAATCACTGGAATAGGGTTATGTTATAGGCCTCCCAATAGTCAGTGGGAGATTGAGGAATAGATATGTAGGGGATCAGAGAAAGTTGTAAAAAAAATACTACAGGGTTGTTATAATGGGTGATTTTAACTTCCCAGTTATTGACTGTGACTCCCTGAGTGCCAGGGGCTTAAATGGCGTAGAGTTTGTTGATGCACTCAGGATGACTTTTTGAAGCAATATGTGGATTGTCCAACTAGGAAAGAGTTATGCTAGACTGTACTGAGAAATGAGCCTGGCCAGCTAATTGACGATTCAGAGGGGCGCCACTTTTTGGGAACAGTGGCCGTAATTCTCTAAGTTTTAAGATTGTTATGGATAAGGATAAAGTGAAAGTTCTAAACTAGGGGAAGATCAATTACAATGGTATTATGCATGAACTAGAGAAATTAGTTTGGGGACAGCTGTTTGAGGGTAAATCTGCATCTAACATGAGAGTTTTTTCAAGTCCTATTGATCAGAGGTCAGGTTTCAGAGGTTTCCTGTGAGGGTGAAACATATAGATGCCAAATTCAGAAACCCTAGATGACAAGAGATATTTGAAGTTTAATCAAAAAGTAAAAGGTTTTGGATACTGAAAATCAGACAAGGCCCTTGAGGAATACAAAAGAAAGCAAGAAAGAACTTACACAATGAAGTATGAGGGTGAGAAGGGGCCAGGAAATGTCCTTGGCAAAGAATTTTGAGGAGAATTTCAAAACATTTTATTCATATATTTGGAGAAAAACAGTAGCTAAGGAATCTATCGGACAAAGGAGACAATTTTATGTATGGAGCCAGAGGAAGTGGATGAGGTCCTTAATGAGTATTTCACATCAGTATTGACCAAAGAAAAGGACATGGATGATGGTAAGAGGGTTTTTTAAAAAATTTTTTAATATTCCAGGGTATGTCATAACTATGGAAGAGGTGGTATTGGGTGGCTTGAAAAATGTTAATTAGACAAGTCTCCAGCACCTGATGGGATCTATCCCAGGATACTGAGGGAGGAAATTATTCAGCTTTGACAGAGAGCTTTGTAGCATCTTTAGCCACAGTGAGATCCCAGAAGACTAGATTAGTTAATGTTGTTCCTTTGTTCCAGAAGGGCAACAGGGATAATCCAGGAATTTATAGGCGAGTGAGCCTTTCTTCAATGGTGAGGAAATTATTGGAAAATTTTCTCAGGGATAAGATTTACTTGCATTTGGAAAAGAATGGACTTATTAGGGATAGTCAGTGTGGCTTAGCACATGCAGCTCTTGACTCACAAATTTTGATTGTGTGCTTTGAGGAAGTGACAAATATGATTGATGATGGTAAGAATGTAGTCAGCAAGAATGTTACTAAAACATTTGCCAAGGTACCTCACTGGTCCAGAAGTTTAAATCACATGGATCCAGGTGAGTTGGTAAGTTGGATACAAAATTGGCTTGCTCATAGAAGACCAGAGGGTAGTTTTGGAGGGGTGTTTTTCTGACTGGAGGTCTGTGACTAATGGTCTTCTGCAAGCATCAATGCTTTGATCTAGATTGTTTGTAATATATATAAATAATTTGTATGAAAATGTGGGTCATCTGATTAGAAAGTTTGCGGATGACATGAAAATTGTGTGGAGTTGTGGATAGTGAGGAAAGTTGTCAAAGGATACAGCAGGATATAGATAAGTTAAAAAGTTGGGTGGAGAAATTCCAGATGAAGTTTAATCCAGAGAAGTGAGGTGATTTATTTTGAAGGCTTAAATTCAAGAGGAACATTCACAGAAAGTGGTGGGATTCTTAGGAGCATTGATATATAAAGGGATCTTGGGGTGCAAGTCCATATCTCCCTGAAAGTGGCAACACCAGTGGATAAGCCAGTAAGGAAGGTGTAACGGATATTTGCCTTCATTGGTCGGGGCATTGAGTATAAAAGTTGGCAAGCCATACTATATATACAATATGATATTTATATACTCAGCTGTATAAAACCTTACTTAGGCCATATTTTGAAGTCCCATGTATAGTTCTACCACCACACTTTAGGAAGGATACGGAGCCTTTTGAGAGGATACAGAAGAGGTTTACCAGGATGTTGCTTGGATTGGAGTGTATTACCTAATTCGAGAGGTTGCACAAACTTGAATTGTTTTCACTAGACCGTCGGAAGCTGAGGGGCGACCTGATAGATATATATAAAGTTATAAGATACATGGATTTGGTGGATAGTCAGAGTCTACTTTCCAGAGTGGAAATGTCAAACATTGGGACGTGAGGGTTTAAAGTGAGAGGGGAAAGTTTAAAGAGGATGTGCAAGGCAAGTTTTTAACGCAGAGATTGTTGGGTGCATGGAACATGTTGCCAGAGAAGGTGATGGAAGCAGTTATGACCACAACTTTTCAGAGGCATTTAGACTGACACATCAACATGTAGGGAATAGAGGGATATAGACCATGTGCAAGATGAGATTAGTTGGGATTAGTTTAGAATGGCATCATGGTCAGTGCAAACTTGGTTGGCCAAAAGCCCTGTTCCTGTGCTGTACTTTTCTATGTTGTATGATATGGGGAGAAAGTGGGAACAGGATACTAAGTTGGATGACCAGCTTTGATCATATTGAATAGCAGGGCAGGCTTGAAGAGCTGATTGTCTTACTTCTACTGGTGCTTAGAATCTCCAGTCCAGACAGGCATTGTGGTGAATCTCCACTGCACCCTCTCTAATAGACTCATATCCTTCCTCATATGTGGTGGTCAGAACTACATGTGGTACTGTAGCTGCGACCTAACCAGCATTTTATACACTTCCAGTATAATATTCTATGACTTGGCTAACGAAAGCAAGCGTCCCATATACCTTCTCAACAACATTACCTACCTTCCCCGCTACCTGAGGAGTCTGTGAATATGCACACCAAAGTCCATCTGATATTCGGTATTTTCATGAGTCCTATCATTCATAGTTTGACCTCTTGCCTTTTTAGCCCTCCCTAAACTTCATACTTCACTGGGTTCAATTCTATTTGACACTTCCCTGCTCTCCTGACCAGTCACAAAAAACAGTAATTTCTGGAAAAAAATACTCAACAGGTCTGGCAGCATCTGTGGAGAGAAAGCAGAATTAACATTTCATGTCCAATGACCCTTGTTCAGAATTTATTGTAGCTAGGAAAAGGTAGGTATATATGCTGAAGATGGTGTGGGGATAGAGGGGAGGAGTAAACAAAAAGGCGGAGGTGGAGACCAGAGATTGAGAGAAACAGCAGTTGGGCAGACAGAGGAATGGGTAAAGGTCAGCCTGGGTGATTAGCTGCTATTGGGGACAATTAGTAGCTAATGGATTGGTTGTAGTGACAGCCCATGTGATAACAAGGCTCCCTGTGGGGATTCATAGAATCATAGAATCTCTACAGTGTGGAAACAGGCCCTTTGGCCCAACACGTCCACACCGACCCTCAGAACATCCCACCCAGATGTATCCCCCTAATCTACACATCCCTGAACACTACAGGCAATTTAGCATGGTCAATCCATCTAGCCTGCACATCTTTAGACTGTGGGAGGAAACTGGAGCACCTGGAGGAAACCCATACAGACACAGGCAGACTGTGCAAACTCCACACAGACAGTCGCCTGAGT